GACACACACAGACTCTGGGTCGAACATGTATGGGCGAATCATTCCGGTTGCCATTTTACAACATTGGACGTTTTTAAATCAATTTCCCCCACGTGCATCGACAGGTGAGTTGAAACTCATTATAATATGCAAAACTGTTATCCACTCACAGCAGTGGGCGTTTACTTCCAAGTCTTCGGTGCGAGACGCCCGTAAAAACCCAGTGTTTTTCGGCTAGGCTCAAAACTAGGGTAGAAAATAGCCTATTACTTATTCATTTTGATGTGTTTGAATGCAAAAACCAAGGGAACGTCATAAGTTCACCTCAGACAACAATATAATAAAATTTAAAAAGCCAGTTCATGACCTCTTTAAGTGAGAAGTAGTCGGACCAGGTATAAACTTTGCACACATTTATGTCCTCACAGTGCACCAATGTAGGGTCAGTTAATATCTTTCTTCATTGATGGCACTGTGTAGGAATGTATTCGGATGTTTTTTTTTTCCCACAAGCAACATTAAATCTCAGATATTTAATTGTATTATGTTTTACCACTGACTGATTGTTGTAAGAAATGGCATATTGTCCCCTATGTTCCCATTCGCGTCACTGCTCAGAACAGTCACTAATGAAGGTAAATGATCTTGATCCCATTTTATTGGAAAAGCTAACTTGAAATTATAATTTGGGATAATGTGCACCCATGAATGGTGCATAAGACCAGGAAACAGGGTCTTCACTTGCTTTCTCTCACACTCTTTGTGATGTTTGATTATAATTAACCAGAATGCTAAGCATGATGGTCATGCCAAGCAAGAGTTTCTTTGACTTTGACAGTGGAGAAGGGTCAGGGATAGAGAGGAACATGAAGCAACCGCAATTGCGGCTCTTGGGTAACTTTCAATTATTCTTAGATTGACTTACTTGGACCAGCAGGAGAGACATCTCACTTCAGAAGTGCAGCGATGAGTTACTGCAAAGATCTGTTCATTCCTGTGATGAGTAACTCCCACAGCAGTAACGTTATCCCCAATGTCGTGTCACCATGTGTGACGGGGCCCCCGGAGAAGGTGTAGCAGAAGGAAAGATCCATCTGTGAGTGATTTAATGACTACAGTTCCAGAGATGATGTGTAATAAAATGGGAGGTATGGGTCAAAGTGACTAGACTCAATCAGGGACAGACCCTTCTGAGTCCACCACATGCTCTAATCTCTACAAACATCTGTTTGAAGTTCCTCAATGAAAACCATCAGTCCTGCTGGATGACCACCTCATTCTTTTGCTATAGCTCATGAAGAACTGTGTGACGTTCGCTGGACATCCACTGTATTTGTCCATACTTTCCCCACAACTGATTTTTTTAAGAGGATATAGTGTCATGATTTACTCACCGTCTGTCTATCCAAACCCACCTGAACTTCTTCGGTGGAAGCCTGCGCTTCTCTCACTTTCCATGCAATAGACCTTAGTCAGTTTAGACGGCATATTGAGTTTACACTGATAAAAACGAGGCTATGAGGGATGGACTTACAGTTGTACAATCGCAAGCATTGTGTAAAAGATTCGCCTTCTCGATGACATTGCGCATGTTGTTATGGCAAACGATGATTAGTCAAGAAGTCTACAACAATAATGTATCTGACAGTATAGACAGAATCTGAAAAAATACACATGAAAATGCATTGTGAAAATCTATTATTGTGGCATCTGCAAGCAAGTTTAAATATATTACGGAAGCCCTGAACCGCAACCTAAAAAAAAATCTGTAAAAAAAAAAAAAAAAAAATTAAAGTCTAAACGTTTCGGGATTAAAGTCTAAACATTTCGGGATTAAAGTCTAAACATTTTGAGATTAAAATTGAAAAATTTTGAGATTAAAGTCGAAACATTTCGAGATTAAAGTCTAAACATTTAGAGATTAAAGTCTAAACATTTAGAGATTAAAGTCTAAATATTTCGGGATTAAAGTCTAAACATTGCAAGATTAAAGTCTAAACGTTTCAGGATTAAAGTCTAAACATTTCGGGATTAAAGTCTAAACATTTCGAGATTGAAGTCGAAAAATTTCGAGATTAAAGTCGAAACGTTTCGAGATTAAAGTCTAAACATTTCGGGATTAAAGTCGAAACATTTACACAAATCCGGGTATTTAGAGAAACGAATATTTTCCCCCTCTCCGTTTTCAATAATAACATCGTTCACACACCCGCATAAATACGCCATCGAGCGCCATCATATCTATGTCAAACCTATGGGCGGCAGTGTAAGGAGAAGGATAAGGCCATGCAAGCCAATCAGAATCCTCAAAATTGACAGAAGAGAACCTAAAACGCCGTTTCTCCCAGTTGACACGACAACACATAACTGCCGTTTTCAGAAATCTCCACTTTGGCCGGAGTTTTTAGAAATACTCGTTTTCTGTGATAAAAACTGGGTTTTCGTGTAAATGAGAGGCCAAACCGCAGGGAAATATCTGCGTTTTCCCTTTGTGTAAACAGGGCCTCATAATGGCCAATAGCGAGTTTCACACTGTGTGTGTGTGTGTGTGTGTGTGTGTGTTTTATTTCATCAAAGGAAATTCAAAAGGTACCAATCTACCAGCATTAGGCTTCCAGTATAGTATAGTTATAAAATATACTGCGCCGGAATAGACTTTATTCTTAAAAACACTTTTCAGACTGGATGGAGAAATCCAGCTTTATGAATGAATGAAAGAATTAATTAATTAATTAATTAATGAGGCATTTATATAGCGCTTTCATATGTCTAGGCCTACGCTTACTGTTACTACATACTAGGCCTCCGCTTATGGGATACACTTCCGATGCGGTATTCGAGATGGTGTGGGTTTAGTGTGCATTAAGGGCATTTAAGCATTTGGCATTGGGTTTGCTCGAAAAAAGTATTCTTGTGCTTAAATGCTGAAAAAAGTACCATAAATGCTGGTAATTCAATTAATGTTCAATGTTTTAGTTCGATAATGTTTTTTATTTTTTAATTAACATTTTGTATTTTTAGGGGATTTTATGCTACTAAATTATATTTACGCTGTACTTATAATCCATTTATTCACTTTTTGAGCATAGACCTGAAAATTAAATTTCCAACTTAAACTGATTTAAATCTTGAATGCTTTAAAGCAAAGTTTGATTTCTATTCAAAGGCCACACTTGGCAGATTATTGATAAAAGTTCAACTTTAAAAAAAAGTTACAGAATTTTACGTTTGTTGTGAGATATATGAAATATTTAAAGTTTATGTTTTACTCATAAATAAATCCATTAATTTTAAACACTTTGTGTTCATCCATGATCAATCTTCGTCCATGATTTTATTTGATTTTTTTAGCAAGAGCCAAAACCTTAACAACGTTTCCTACCATTTAGATGAAGAAGAAAAATAAATACTTGTCTTTTTTTTTTCGATCAAGAGCACCAGAGCCACAGCGTGGTGGCAGAAGTGACTGTACGAAGTCAATTCTCAAGGTCCCTCAGGTGTCCTCCGTCATAACCACAGGTGTAGGATCTTAACATTTCACAATCATGTCCAAATATTATCAAATGTAAAAATATGTTCGTTTTGTAGCCATCGTTAGACGAACTATGGGGCTTGAGTGTTTAATGGTTTGCGTCTGAATAGCGGCTGACTGGACTATTCTCCAAGTGTTTAGCATCTGAACAAAAGAAGACCGGCGGCAAGTGATGGAATGAATCGACGCCGATGGGCGAGTTCCCCCGTCTCCAGTGAAAGCACTGCTCTGAAACAACAGGCTTGTGTGTAAAGTTAAGTGTCGCGTTAACACCAGCCACTTGACACCCTTTTATCCCACCGCGTGCTCAATGGCCGAAGAAGGAATTCAGCGAACCCTATTACATCATCAACGCCATGCGTGAAACACTTAATGAAGACATTGCAAATGAGAAGGTCTCGAGTTAAAACAAGCAAAAGATAGATGGATACAGCAGGGCTTTTTGAGCTGTGGTAACAAAAAGTATGTGTTTCTTATGTTTGACAGACACCGTCATAATTATAGGCTACTAGTATAAAATAATGAAACATTTAATTTGCCCACAAAAAGGAGCTGCGACTGAGGTACCCTTCCGACTCCAATACAGCCGAGGGAAAGTCTGAAGGGTCTCCGTGAGGGTGGAGGAGTGATGACGGACTCCTTTGATCTTCAGAGGCCCTCGTCGACAGACTCCCGTTGATAAAAAAGGCGCGGAATGTCTTATAGTGCACGGACAGAAATACCCAAACAACTTAGACAAGTTTTCGTTCCCATTATGAAAGTAAAAAAAAGTTTGTTCTCACAGGACTGCAGACAATTGGTAGCTAGACCTGTAATAGACATACACTGAAAAAACAAAACAAACAAACAACCCATCTTTGGGTCAAATAGGCTACATGGAGAAAACCAACCGTTGGGTTTACAAGTTTAACTAAAACATTTAAACCAACTGTTGGATTTGATCATATTGTTTATTTTTTGGGGTCAAATGGACAACACCAACTGTTGGGTTTAAAATTCTGTTTTTGTTCGATTTGTCCACATTTGACCCAAACATGGGTTGAAACAACCCAGCTGCATATTTTTAGTACATTGTATTTAAAGCTACATTTAGTCACCACACATTATAAAATTTAAATGATATATATGCTAAATAAACTGTACAAAATTCATAACACCAATAACAAAGTAGCCTATCCACCACTGCTTGTAAATTCTCACGCGATTTGTTTTACTATATTTATACAGATTTTTTTCCAATCCACAAGAGCCAAGTGTCAGAAAAGTCTTATTCTCACTCTATAAATTCGCGTGGAACAGGCATTTCAATGCCAATAAAAAAAATACCACATCAAGAAAAATATTGCAGATCAAAAGAACCAAACTATGAGCATTTTTTTTTTCAATAAATGAAAAGGACAGAAATGAGTGCGACTGGATCACGCCCCTCCACAGCGATTGGTTGACGGGAAAGAGAGCAGGGTTAAAACCCAGAGCGGGTTAAACACACTCAGGTATTGAACAGAGGAGCGCGCAACAGTCAGAGGAGTGTTAAGTCAGTGGAGGAAACAGTGTATAAAGTATCTAACAAGAAAAGCTTTAAAGGACCTCCAAGTTTTGCACTGAGAAAGCTCACCTGTTCCACTCATTTGGCTTTGTGTAACTGTGTGTGTGTATATAACTGCTAGTGCAGATTTCCAGCAGCACCTCAGGATTTCTTCTGAGCGCGTGATGAAGTGCAGGGCGTCGCAGAGGAGCGCGCGGGTGATGCGCGTGGTTCATTGGGCTGTGATGCTGGGATTGATCCAGTGCGGCGCGCTCAGCGCGCGGAAGTTCCGCGGAGGTCGAAACCCGCAGCCACGGCGCGCGCTCCCCTCCGTGCAGTCCCGCGACCGCGCCGAAACCACCGAGAGCTTCTCACTGGATTTCACAGCCGTGGAAGAAAACATGGACAACTTCATGACTCAGGTGAAGAACCTCGCGCAGTCTCTGTACCCGTGCTCGGCGCAGAAGCTCGACTACGACATGAAGTTACATTTCCTGGAGAATACTTCAGTCACCTGTAACGACGGGACCCCAGCAGGGTAAGAAAACACGCCGGTTACGATAATAAACGTTAGGTTACACAACAGTGGGATGCTTACATTGGACAATTGGGCATCACAGGCGCGTGCGGCATCATCTAGGCGCGCGCCGCCGTTGACCGTTATTGTTGCGAGCTTACAGTAAAACTGACTAAGCCATAGCTGTCAGTTAGAACTTATACAGTATAAGTTCCTTTCATCGACACAACAGGCATATTATGAGTCTACTTACAGTAATAACGGTATTGAGAATATGGTCACCATTGTATAAAGTTTTAGCCTACCTTTCAAAGTTATGATATTTGAACAAAACCCGTTCTTGATTTAGGATTAACTTTTTTTTGATCCACTTCAAATGTAGATTACTGTAGTTTTTACACCTAAATTCTTAAAATGAACATCATTACACTGTAAAGGCTCTTTATCGGCTTCTATGGTTCCAGGAAGAACCTTTAACATCCTTTCCACTGAACGAAAGGTTCTTTAGATTATTAAAATGCTCTTCACACTATGAAAAAAGTCGTTTTTTTAAAGCTGTTCACTGAAATGTTAATTGGGGAACCAAAAATCATTCATGGAACCCTTTTTCCCACCGGCTTGTTACAATAATTTATGTCATCGCTTCCTGATTTTAGTTAAGAAGCGCTTAAGAAAATCTTTGACTTTTGCATCTCATTGGTTAAATAACACGAATGGATTAAGATATAGTGTGTTCTCCAGTAGTCTAAGCATCTCCTAACAGTGACCTGACAGTTTCATGTTGGGTAAAATCAAGTTTTAAAGCAATAACACTTAACCTATAATACAAATGTAAGGTGTTGTCAGAGCAAGTTAAGCATGTCATGATCAGGTAGAGATCGCGAGAGAATCACCTGGAATAAACGGTAATACAGTGACAGGTGGGCGGGGCGTGAGTACAGTAAGAGGGAAACAGTGCTCTAATGTGATGCTGCGGTCAAGTGTCTAATATCTGCTAGTGAGATGATTTTCAACTGAGTGACAATAAAACGCCTGATTTAATCTCTCCAATTGGCTGTTGTGGACCTGTCGCTGCTGATCATTCAGAATTTATATATCGATTTTATGTTTGCTACAATCAGAGAAAAAGCTGTGTCTCTGCAAACATCAGAACAAGTCCAAAAGCACCACGAGGAGCATGTGTTCCCCGAATCACTGAGGGTTTTTCCAGTGATGACCAATTTACATTCCTCCCCCTCAACCCCCAAGTGTTGAAGCCAAGAGTGTTTTGTTGTTGACCCGTCCCGCTCTACTATACCTGGAGACTGAAACTCAATTCAAGACACTGAGGTCAAAACAACGCAAGCTCTTTAAATACCCAAATACACTAAAAAAAAGCTCTTTGAATGAACATAAAAAAAATCATGGAAAGGATTTCCACATGATTAACTTGCTTAATTTCATTATTATGCAATTATGTTATTCCAACTTATTGTACTTGCGTTGGGTCAACTTAATTCATTAAGGTTGATTCAACTTATTTACTATGTTTGGGTACAGCCTTATTTAATAGTGTCAGTGAATTTAAAAAGGCTCCCTGTCCCCTGATATGATTCACGTATTCAAATTCATGTATTCATTCATCCAAAGCAATATAATTTATTTTAGTGTCACACTAATCAATTACTAGACTATAGACATCTATAGCACTTTATAGCACTTTTTTACTTCAGTTAAAGCAACACAAATCATGTAATTCACGTAATCCATAACAAACGGATTGAGTAAACTAGATTGAACACAATCAAATTAAGTTTGGACAAAATGTATAGCAATTTGAACTAAGCAATTTGAACAAGCAGCAAAATTAAAACAATTTTGAGTGTAGGATGCATATATCACTGTAAAAAATATTTTCATGATTTGTAAAACATTTTTTTTCTTTTGTCAAATCAACTTAGTTCAGATAACATAATGTTTTGAGTTTCTGATGCTTAAATCAATCTTCATTGTATTAAACTCAATTTTTTCAGTTCAATGAACTTAAAAGTTTACGGCAGCCAGGTTACTTATTTTTTAAGTTAAACCAACAATATTTTTTTACAGTAATTCTAATGAAAGTTAATAAAAGCATATGCTTGATTGTCATGTTTTGTGATATTGAGACCGTATATTACTTTAGTTTACACTCTACAAAATGACTGCCATATGCATTATGTTGCAATATCATTGTAAATGCCATAATTGATTACATTGCACTTAATTTAAGGCATTTTTTTACAATCAACTTGAATGTTTAAGTCATATCAACCACTGTAAAAAATATTTTCAAGATTTGTTATCACAACATATTTTCTTTTGTCAAATCAACTTTATAATAATTTATTTAGTTGAGATAACTTATTATTTTGAGTTTCTGATGATTCAATTAATCTCCTTAATTGTATTAACTCACTTTTTCCAGTTCAATCAACTTAAAATTTTAAGGCAACCAGGTTACTTACTTTTTTAAGTTAAACCATCAATATTTTTTTTACAGTGTAGTAATCACAACATTTTTTCTTTTGTAAAATCAACTTAAATAATTTATTTAGTTCAGATAACATATAATTTTGAGTTTCTGATGATTAAATTAATCTCCTTCATTGTATTAACTCACTTTTTCCAGTTCAATTAACTTAAAATTTTAAGGCAACCAGGTTACTTACTTTTTTAAGTTAAACCATCAATATTTTTTTACAGTGTAATTGACATTAAACAGACTTAAAAATGAGTGAATTGAATCTTGTGAACCTAAAACGTCAAATTGCTTAACTTATTTTGATGAGTTAAAGCGATATAAAAAAGATAAGTCGTCATAACTTATTGTTCATTTTTACGGTGCCATGTGCATTATTTACCATATGGATAATTGATTAGGCACATCGTGACATACCTGAGCCTCTGCCGTCTTACACTTAAATCTTAAAAGTTAAAAATCTAGTATAAAGTAAAAGTGAGGACAGATGATCTAAATTCACCCGGCTTGCGTCACGTGTAAGTACTCTTTCCTTGACAATAACTTGTAGTGCTAAATAATCTATAACAACAACAGTGATATCTATACATAATCAATAGGATCAATCTTGTAAACCGGTTTATTTATCCTGCACATCTTGTGAAGAAAGCCTTATTATGCATGATTTTTTGACTCTTGCTATAGTGAACAAACTCTCACACTCTGTATCCTTTATATAAAACTTTGAAATGCCTTATATTTATGCAAATCCGCTGCTATTATCGTTACGTTCAAAAACTCTTTATATGAAGCATATTTCATGCATGTCACGTTTATGCAGATCAGTGTTTCGAACTTAAAAAATATTATTACCAGGGAAATGGATTTTAACATTCACCTTCTTTTGTAATTGACAATATTTATGGTACATGCATGGATGAATAGCTGGATATATTGAGTAAAAAAATATGCATTAACTGTTCATTTAAGACGTCTTGCAAAATCCTGATGTAAGGAATCATGTAATCACTTGAGAGGTTGTGTGAAACTCAAAATCACTGCAGAAAAGCTTGTAGGATGAGGATTATCCTAATTTTACAGCGTTTATAGAAACCTTTACTGAATGTCCGCGTTAAGTTTATGAGCGCTTATGCCTGAGCTTTATAAGGTGTAATGGAATGAAACATAAATCGTTAGCGTGTTAGTAGCGGGTAATAGTGAGAAATGTACACCATATGCCAGAAATGCGGTCACCAGTGGCATAAATTGGATGCAAATTAAAGCTGTCTTTAATTATGTTAGACTGATGCCCCTCAAAGCAACGAGCGGAGCCACAACTGGGACTGTTCTCACACAAGCAGCAAACGACTGAAGTTTGAGTTTATGCAATATCTGAACGCCCTCTTGTGGATACGGTGGACATCACCTCTAAGTCCAACATCCGTTGTGCAAGAAGAAGTTGAAAAAATATACTTTAAAACAATATTTTAAGTGTGAACTAAATGCAATGTTTTCAGACACTTAGCCCAATTGCATGTTTATTGCAATTAAATGAAAATGTAGTTTTATTATCTTTCCAAATGGACTTTTTACAGTTTGTGTGACCCACTTAAGTACACCTTTATGTGTAATTTCATAATTCTGTTGAAATATGGTGTTGAATGTACCATCAAGCATTTATGGGACACTAAAACATACTTTAATGCCATTTCTATTGTAACTGTGTCATGTTTACATATATTTGTAATTAATGCACATTTGGAATGAATTTGGAATTTAGTATAAATTAAATATTTTATCTTTAAATGTAATATCCAATAAGACAAATGGTTTAGTATGTTAGTCAACGCATTAATTAAGTTTAGGCTACTTTAAAACACGACAAAAGATTATTAAAGCATAAAGAATCAAAATGTACTATACTTTAAAATTTGTAGTTTGACATTACATGGTTCACTTTTTTAATGGAAGCAAATTTCCACCACAGAAAGAAAAAAATAGAAAAGGTAATTGCAATTACTCACAATATAATAAACTCACAATTGTGTGATATAAAGTCGCAAATGCGTGATATTAAGTCGTAAATGCATGATATAAAGTCGCAATTGCATGTTATAAAGTCATAATTGCGAGATATAAAGTCAGAACTGCGAGATATAAAGTCAGAATTGCGAGATATGAAGTCAGAATTGATTGATATAAAGTCAGAATTGTGAGATATAAAGTCGTAATTGCGTGTTATAAAATGAGAATTGCGAGAAATAAAGTCAGAATTGCGAGATATAAAGTCAGAACTGTAAGATATAAAGTCAGAATTGCGAGATATAAAGTCAGAACTGTGAGATATAAAGTCAGAATTGCGAGATATAAAGTCAGAATTGCGAGATATAAAGTCAGAATTGATTGATATAGTCATAATTGCGTTATAAAATGAGAATTGCGAGAAATAAAGTCAGAATTGCGAGATATAGTCAGAATTGATTGATATAATCATAATTGCGTGTTATAAAATGAGAATTGCGAGAAATAAAGTCAGAATTGCAAGATATAGTCAGAATTGATTGATATAATCATAATTGCGTGTTATAAAATGAGAATTGCGAGAAATAAAGTCAGAATTGCGAGATATAGTCAGAATTGATTGATATAATCATAATTGCGTGTTATAAAATGAGAATTGCGAGAAATAAAGTCAGAATTGCAAGATATAAAGTCGCAATTGCATGTTATAAGTCAGAAATGCTTGATATAAAGTCGAAATTGCGTTTTGTAAAGTCAGAATTGTGAGATATAAACTATTCTGAGGGGAAAAAAAGTTAGTATTTTTTCCAATTAGAATCAGCCTGATAACTCGCAATTACGAGTTTATATCTCACAATTCTGAGTAAAGATGTCAGAAGTTCGAGATATTAACTCGTGAGATAAAAAGTCGCAATTCTTTCTTTTTTTCTCACAATTGCGTTTTTATATCTCACAATTCTGACTTCATATCTTGTAATTGTGAGGTAAAAAGTCGCAATTATTATTATTATTTTTTCAATGGCGGAAATAAGCTTCCATAATTTTTATAGACTTCAAGTACAATTAAAATTGTATTATCTGCAAATGGATTAAAAAAAGATAGGCTATATACTGTATATATATATATATACTTTTAAGATATGAAGTACACATCAATTCAAGTACTTGTACATTCAATTAATCACACTTTATGAGACTTTCATTCTGCTTTATATCCAATCATTGTCTTTTTTTAGGATTAGACTCATATTCTGTTGACATAATGCTGAAAATAACTGATTATATCTTGAGAAACCGTTAAATTCAGACCTATACACTGAATTGTTAATTAAATTGATGTGTGTAAGAGCTGATGGCAGTGCCTGTAAGTATATGTTGTAATGTCTGTCTGCTTTACTGTAGGTACTACCTGAAGGAGTCCAAGGGAAGCAGAAGGTGGTTAATATTTCTGGAGGGTAAGTGCGATGCTTTCAGTCATCAGAAGAATCTCTTCACCGACCGTTGTGTGCGCATGTGATGCTGAACCTGTGTGTCTCTGTGCAGGAGGCTGGTACTGCTTCAACAAGGAGAACTGTGACAGCAGATACGAGACCATGAGGAGACTCATGAGCTCCTGCACATGGCCACAAAGCAAGACAGGTTAGAGATGCCAACAGTCTGTCAACAGAGGTTTCATTTCTTATAGTATCAGTATTCACAGCAATACAGAAATGGCGGAATAAGCCCCGCCCACTAAATAAAAGAGCCAATCACCAGTTGGTAACGTCATTAAATTACCTTTGATTTAACTTTGACAAAATTGATGAGAGTGTTGTTGTCTAATTTCATTGTCGATTTCAAATATGAAATTTAATCGCAAGAGCTTTGGAAAATGTGATGTTTCCGCATTCAAAGAGATATTTGGAGGTGTACTCGCATGACTGAAATAGCTGAGGTGTTTCAAAGATGGCCGCCGAGTAAAATGACTTTCCTTAAATGGCCAAATTTTAGGCAACATAAACTAGATTTCAAACCAATTATAGAAAGATCATTCTCATTTTTGTTATTTTACATGATTTCATAGTTCTATATGTCTTTGTTTTAACTTTAGGCACAGGAATACTGTCTTCACTTCCAGAGGAAAACCCACACTGGTGGAATGCCAACATGGTGTGAGTATCTCTCTGTCAATACTCGTGTAAATAATGCTTGAGATGAAACATGATGGTTTTCATGATGGTTACGTCGGCACAAATTTGGACCTGAAGTCGTTTACCACCTGCGTTTACCACTTTTCAGGTTCATCCCATACTGCTCAAGTGATGTATGGAGTGGGGCCACACCAAAAACCGATCAAAGTAAGATTCAAAATATATATAAAGATTATATATTGTTTACTATGTTATGGTCCAAATGCCAATTAAACTACACTGAAAAGAGAATTGTAAATTAACCTGGAAAAAAGAATGCAAAAATTACGTATGAAATATAATAGGAATGCCAAAAAGATTTTCACTTGTGGGCTCAGACATTTTTAAAGTTAAAACACAACCATCTCCATCAGATCACCTTTTCTATGTGTTCATCTGGCTGTTATAACTCATATACTGCAGCCAAACAAAATCTAAAGTTTATGAATTAAGGGTCAAGAGCCCAATTAAAGCAAACACTGATCTCAATAATGGTGACTTAAAAAATTCCTGCTTCATTCTGCTTATTTACATCAGGTGTCTTCTATAATGTTCAATCATCACTCAAAGTTCAAAAGAATACAGAAATCTATTTGTAACATTATACATGTCTTTAATGTCACTTTTGATCAATTTAATGTATCTTTGATGATTCTGAATAAAAGTTCAATATCTTGAATGAAGCACTTGTATAGCGTTTTCATACTACTGTATACCCAAAGTGCTTCGCATCATAATTCGTCATCTTAATGAGCCAAAAGTGTTGGTTTGGAGGTGACAGTTCCAATATATTACCACTTTATACCATCACTGTAGTAGTAGGATGCTATAGTTTTCATGTAGTGGCCATCTAACAACTAGTCCTGATCTTTTATAGCACTGGCCATTCATTAATGGGTTGTTTATTGTGTACAGATGACTATGCGTTCATGGGTTCACTGATCATAAAGGAAGTGGTGAAGGATCTTCTCACCAAAGGTCTGGACAATGCCAAGATACTGCTGTTAGCGGGAAGCAGGTGAGTCCACAACACAGACCATCGTTTCTGACCTGAGGTCTGTGATTGATGTTGACTAAGTGTGTGTGTCGTGTGGACAGTGCGGGCGGCACTGGGGTGTTGCTGAACGTGGACCCAGTATCTGAGCTCCTGGAGGAGTTGGGTCACGCAAACATCCAGGTCAGGGGTCTGGCTGATTCTGGCTGGTTCTTGGACAACAAACAATACCGCTGCACTGACTGTGTGGACACCATCAACTGTGCACCCACTGAGGTCATCAAGAGAGGAATCAAGTAAGAATATTACGCTTGTCATTTAAGGTAGGGTAGGCGGATATGCTAGTGATAGCAAGTTAGCTTTGAAAGCATGACATTCCACTGGGTCAAAACCAGTGTTGGGTAAGTTACTCTAAAAAAGTAATGAATTACTAGTTACTAATTACCTCTTCAACAATGTAATTAGTTTACTGCACAAATTACTCTCTCTAAAAAGTATTTAATTACTTTTAATTACTAATTACTTTCACTATCCCATTTCAATCTCAACCAGCTGAATAATACAAGAATAGACATGAATCTGTTTTAATTCTTTCAAATAAATACTATAAAATTGCATGAATTATCCTTAAACTGACCAAGGTGGAGAAGGTTAGATTATAAAAATATACTTTTTAGCATCAGACAATACATTTTGATGTTAAACCCACTATTGTTTTATGTCTGATATCATGACATTTCACACTTTTTTCATACACATTTTACAATAATTCATACGAATTTGTACGAGTGCGGTCGTAATATTTAGATTCCTCATAAAATGCATACGAATCGCTGTGAGATCGGATTGATCTATACACAGTATTTACCTCAATTACATCAGAAGTAACTGTAATTAAATTACAGATAAATTAAGAGTAATCCCTTACTTTACATTTTCAAGGGAAAAGTAATTAAATTACAGTAACTAATTACTTAGTAATTAGTTACACCCAACACTGGTCAAAACACATACACATACACACGGCGCAATGCAGCACCAGGCGCAACATAGCTAAGTGTTTTATGCTAGTTTCAGCCCGACGCAGTTTTCATTTTTACGTCTTGGTCTGAAAACGCATTGATGGTGCGTTGCTATTTTAAGGCAACTGAAATTGACTGACAAAAGGTACAAGACTGTGAACCTAATGCCTTTAGTGTGGGAAAGAACTGTTTTAAATCTATTTTGCACTCTTGATATTATAGAGTCGCCCCTTCATTGCTGTGCAGTTCTTTACTTAAATATATATATATATATATATATGTTGTTATTTAAAGTTCCCTCTTTACAAATTCCTCCATGTAAATAGCGAATTCGCCATGGCGTGAGCATAACTGGGTTTATTGCATGGGGGCGCCAACCATTTGTCCTGCATGCAAATGTTTGTATCGTCTGAACAGACAATTTACCAGCCGTTCATTCAAGTTCAAATGTTCATCACACCAAATATTGGTAAATATAATGTCATGAACTTCTTGTCCACAGATACTGGGGTGGTGTTGTACCGGAGCGATGCCGACAGGCTTATGAAGGAAAAGAATGGAACTGCTTCTTTGGCTATAAAAATTATCCTACCATTAAACGTGAGTACAGGCACCACCCACTAGTCCTTTACGGACACCATTGAGTTTGGTTGCTTTGTTTAACCCAGTGGGATGTTTCTTTATTACAGGTCCAGTGTTCGTAGTGCAGTGGCTATTTGATGAAGCCCAGCTAACGGTGGACAACATTCATCTGACTGGTCAGCCCGTTCAAGAGGGCCAGTGGCGTTATATCCAGAATCTGGGGACGGAGCTGAGGAACACTCTGAAGGACGTCCCGTAAGTATGACCGGCCCTTTAGAGACTCATTGTGAAGACCGCACGAATGCTCATTCAAAGTTATCACTTTTTGGCTGTTTCTGATGATCTGCTTTTCCCCTGCAGTGCCATGTTTGCTCCAGCTTGCCTTTCGCACGAATTCATAACAAGAAAGTAAGTGATCTCTTTGATTATGTGCATCTCTACTTGTAGATTAAGTGTGATGTCAGTTCAGGAGTAGATTTGCACTTTTTAAATCAAATAAAGTGCAATTAATACAATTTACCTGATGTTCTACTGTGGTCAGGATAAACCCTTTGATAAAACATCCCGCCCAAGGCATACGCAAAATAAAGAGTGAGGTCTGGTTGAGCTGTGTTAGTAGTGTGTTGTCCACATCATGTCCAAGAATTGCTGTTTTTTGTTTTTTCTACTCTGAATCCAAAATACCTTTTTGGGGCTTCCTTAAGTGGACAAACTTAGGAAACAGTGGTAAAAAATATATATTCCTCAGCAGTACAGCCTTTTGTTGTGTTTTTCAGCATTTCTCAACACTGTAAAAATGATCTGCCAATGGGATAAGAGAAATAATCTTGTTTCCATTTTTCCATTACGCCATTGGCAATTAATTTAGTAGTACTTAAGACTATTAGTAATTTTTAAATAATTAACACAATCATTTTACTTGTCTAGTAAATGCATCTGATTTAAGAATAGTTCATATTTGGACTGGAAACAACACAAAAACACTAAATAAATTGCACTGTTTTCTGAACCATGCAGTTCAATGCAGGTCTGATGTTATAAATGACAGAGTTGAAAGATTTGCCACTGTGAATCGCCCTGCACGAGTTGTGCTTATGAAAGTGGTTCAGGTCGATCAGCTTGTTCTTCTTGACTGACATTATTGGACTATTGAGCTTGAACTGATATGGAAAAACTGATGCCATAGTTAGTGTAGTTACAGTAGCGTTTACAACAGCCCAGAAAGCCTCTGATTTTATACTCACCGATTATGTTAAGGGGCGTTACATCCAGAGCAGACTGGGACTGGCTGGCCAATCAGAGCAGACTTGGACTGGCTGGCCAACCAGAGCAGACTGTGACTGGCTGGCCAATCAGAGCAGACTGGGACTGGCTGGCCAATCAGAGCACACTGGGACTGGCAGGCCAATCAGATCAGATTGGGACTGGCTGGCCAATCAGAGCAGACTGGGACTGGCTGGCCAATCAGAACAGACTGGGACTGGCTGGTAAATCAGAGTGGACTGGGACTAGCTGGCCAATCAGAGCAGACTTGGACTGGCTGGCCAACCGGAGCAGACTGGGAGTGGCTGGCCAATCAGAGAAGACTGGAGTGGCTGGCAATCAGATCAGATTGGGACTGGCTGTCAATCAGAGCAGACTGGGACTGGCTGGCCAATCAGATCAGATTGGGACTGGCTGTCCAATCAGAGCAGACTGGGACTGGCTGGCCAATCAGAACAGACTGGGACTGGCTGGCCAATCAGAGCAGACTGGGACTGGATGGCCAATCAGAGCAGACTGGGACTGGCTGGCCAATCAGAGAAGACTGGGACTGGCTGGCCAATCAGAGCACACTGGGACTGGCTGGCCAATCAGAGCAGATTGGACTAGCTGGCCAATCAGAGCAGACTGGGACTGGCTGGCCAATCAGAACAGACTGGGACTGGCTGGCCAACCAGAGCAGACTGTGACTGGCTGGCCAATCAGAGAAGACTGGGAGTGGCTGGCCAATCAGAGCACACTGGACTGGCAGGCCAATCAGATCAGATTGGGACTGGCTGGCCAATCAGAGCAGACTGGGACTGGCTGGCCAATCAGAACAGACTGGGACTGGTTGGTAAATCAGAGTGGACTGGAACTAGCTGTCCAATCAGAGCAGACTTGGACTGGCTGGCCAACCAGAGCAGACTGTGACTGGCTGGCCAATCAGATCAGATTGGGACTGGCTGTCCAATCAGAGCAGACTGGGACTGGCTGGCCAATCAGAACAGACTGGGACTGGCTGGCCAATCAGAGCAGACTGGGACTGGATGGCCAATCAGAGCAGACTGGGACTGGCTGGCCAATCAGAGCAGATTGGGACTGGCTGGCCAATCAGAGCAGACTGGGACTGGCTGGCCAATCAGAGCAGACTGAGACTGGCTGGCCAATCAGAACAGACTGGGACTGGCTGGCCAATCAGAGCAGACAGGGACTGGATGGCCAATCAGAGCAGACTGGGACTAGCTGGCCAATCAGAACAGACTGAGACTGGATGGCCAATCAGAGCAGACTGGGACTGGCTGGCCAATCAGAGCACACTGGGAAAAGCTGGCCAATCAGAGCAGACTGGGCTTTTCAGAAGGGAGGGCTGCGTTCAGCCCTGACAAAATGTTGCACAGCGTTTTAAACAGAAACGGTGATGCGTTGAACACACTGTTCTGATGACGCAAGAGTTGCAACTATGGCAGCTGAGAAGGCCATTCTTAGCTGCATTGAACACATTTGTAAATGACTTTCCTTGAACCCACAGTGCGAGTTCACTTTAATACTGCGTGCTTTATATACATGTTGCTGCTGATTGGACTGCAGTTCTGACACACCCACCAAACAAGAGAAAACGTATCTCAAACCCTGTTTCCAGGAAACACAACGTTCAACCCGGAAACCGCACCGTTTTGAACTTGAACGTGCCCCAGGTGGTTTTATAGAAACTGAAACAAAAACAGACTTTTCAGACAGAGGGTGAAAACAGGTGCTGCAACAAATCGACATTTATAGAAATTCGTTTTTGAACATTAAATAATGTAAACTTATTCTAGCGAGCCCACTAAAGAAAATTATGAACCTGTAAATAAGGATAATAGGGTGTTTAATAACTTTTTTAAACAGGATATAGCTGGTAAATAGTAGGCTGAGAGAAGTCATTGAATCATATTTAAAGTGTTATTTTTCCCACTAGTCAAATGAACGGGACACTCATTGAGTAGTTCTGCCCTCTTGTGTTTGTTGTAGTTTCTGGACCGACGTTCAAGTCAAGGGCACGTCTTTACCCAGAGCGCTCCACTGCTGGGATCGCAGTCTACAGGACAACAGCAGAAATAACAAATCCCCTCCCAAAGGCTGTCCCATGCACTTGATTGACAGCTGTCCATGGCCTCACTGCAACCCCACGTGCCCAACAATCCGAGACCAGTCGACGGGACAGGAGATGAACGTTATCCAGTTCCTCATGCACATGGGCTTCGACGTGCAGAAGATGGCCCACCAGCAGGGCATGGACCCGAGTAAACTACTGGGCATGCTCAGCAGCGGCAGCTAAATGCTAAAAGGACTCGCTCCTTTCCCATCAGTCCGTTCGATACCTCCAAGCCCTTCACCCACCTCAGGTTTGACCTTAGGCTGAGCCTTGCCTTTAGCCGGGGCTCTGTGCCAAATTTCTATGGGCTTCCATCTCCAGATCCCCTCATTAATGATCCGTTTAAAAGTCCAGCGTATACATGCAGATTTTCCTCACTGAGCAGCTTTGGAGACGGTGGAGATGCCCAAAACAGAGATTTGGAACGGAGCCCTTGTCAGATCCACCTCAGTTAAACCATGGGCTGCTGACTGTTCAAAACCTTCCCAACACAGTACGGGTTAAAGTACTGAGGAAAACCATGCAAACCGGGACAAGGTACACCTGCATCTCTTCTCTTAATTTATCGTTTGGTTATTAAAGTATCACGAATGTAATCCAGTTTTACGGATCTTCAGCTGTGTTGTTTGCGTTGTGGTTTTTTTATCTCATTTCCTTTTTGTTACCAATATATTTAGCCACAGTTTATTAGAGTTTTATATGTCCATTCAGAGAGAGAGTGTTACGGATATATTATCGATTTATAGAGTTTATAATCTGTAACACAGATTACATGAAGTACATGTCAAATATATATGAATCTACTCAAGACTATATAGAATCGTATAAACGGGAACTTTGGGACAGACAGACACACACGTGTGTGGAAAGCACTGGATCACCTACTCTAAACCCAACTTCATTCTTGGGGTACAGCTAAGTTATTTTCAAAAATAATATGACTTGATTTAGGAATAGTCAGTCCCTTAATAATAATAATAATTCTCTTATCTTTAACCAACTCCCATGCCATTCCAATCATGGCTGGAGAACTTTCAAAGAATGTTCAAGCTTCAGTTTGGTGTTTGGTCATCTATACTGCCAAAAGCCAAAGTATCATAGTAGTCATAGACTATATCCCAGAATCCATTCAACAGTACCAAGAACAATAACTATAAAGATAACCAGTGGTGGAGGAAGTACTGGATCTCAGTACTTAAGTAAAAGTACAAATACCCAGATACATATTTACTTTAGTAAAAGTAGAAGTAACACAATGACAACCATACTTAAGTAAAAAGTAAAAAGTACTTTATTTTAAATGTACTTTAAGTATTAAAAGTAAAAGTACTTGCATAACAATTTATTATCTTAATGTCTATTTTCTAATGATTAATAAAACATTTAATTCTAACTCATTCAACCTAATAGCCTACTCCTATAATGATGTTCAATAATGATGGAAAAAAATGTCACCATTTCTGAAACAAGCTTGCAATTAGGCAATATCATGCTTATCCTTACTATATGTTAATAACTATGTTTGGCAGTAAACGCGATTCATTTATGGTGTAATTCTGAACCTCTTGGCTTGCCATAATCCTAACCAAACCAAACATATATTACACACGGTGTGTTTCCTATGCACGTAAAAACAAATTTTCGCGTATGAGTTGCATGATAAACACACTGCGTGTGAGACGCATTTAGTGTGACCGGGTTATATACTGTATCTATGGCAACCAAACGTCACTGGTGAGACAAACGTGTAGCGAACGGACGGTCAGATTACGTTTTGGCAGGGGAAAAACTGATCAGAAAATGTAACAGAAGTTGTAGAAATGTAGTGGAGTAGAAAGTATAATAATTGCTGCAAAATGTAACGAAGTAAAAGTAAAAAGTAGGCACTATTTATTGTACTTAAGTAAAGTAAAGATACGTGAAAAATGTACTTAAGTAAAGTAACGAAGTATTTGTACTTCGTTACATTCCACCACTGAAGATAACTACCAATAACTATGTGCAACAGTCGGGTTTCAGAAGTAAAAACTCCATTCAGTTTCTCCATAGGGAATGGATTTTTAACGATAACTTATAAACCTTTAAAGATAGCCCTACTTTGAGCTGAGAGGTTGTTAATCCATGTTATTTTTTTTAGAAGCCATTAGACCACGATATTTTTAGTTTTAAAATAATCGTGTTTAACGTGTCTAACGCTACTTCATCGGAATGGTATAAAACTCTTGTAACCAGTCACTAATGTGACTTAATTTGAAAAAAGTGAAATGATTGTAAAAAAATTTAAAAAAAGCCACAATGCACAGCAATGAAGGGGCGACACCAAAATATTAAAATAGACACAAAATTCTTTCAAACACTTTCCCACACTAATGGTGCGTTCTATTATAGCCAACGAACCGACTCTGACCTCGTATATGATGTCACGGGCACTTACAAAGTACATTAAAAAAAAAATATTATGACTACACCTTATCAAAACGCAGCCATGTTTTATTTCATGTTTTTCATGTTAATCTTCTGTTAGCAACGCTAGCAACGTTACTAATTGCACTCACAACAATCGATTCCCATACCTACAGGGGACGAAGTAATACGAGTGATTATAATCGTCATTTAAAATACCAAAGCGGTTCAAAAACAATGAAAACAATGCATACTCACACAGGGCGCAGCCATCTTGAATTCCGCAACGGAATTCTTGCTCGGTGTCCTCGCGGTTGTCCGACGTCCAAGAGGAAAAATCCGAGGAAAGGGGGCAGATTCGGATCTCCGAGACGGATAAATAATAGAGCGCACCATAAGGTTGTGTGTCGACCAAAGCGTTTTTCCATGCACCTGGCGTATGTTTTTCGCGTTTTCAGAACGCCATGAGCGGAACGAGGCGCTAAACGTTTGTTTTTGTTTTTTCACGCTGAAGCACCGAGCGCCCAGCGTTTTTTACTGGTCGCCGAGAGTTGAAAACTTTTCAACTTTGTATGAAACGCAGTGCTCATCACTGTCATTTTTTTACCCAGGAGGGGCGGGACTAATACCATACCGACCGACTGTCACAACATTCTTTCTGTACAACGGCATCAACTTGCAGAGATAACCGAACAAAATGGACGAAAAATAAATTTTTGTATGAAACAAATTATCAAGCGCCCCAAAGCTCCGCTCGGCTCGGCTTCTTCAGCAGAGCGTTAGCGTTTTCAGCTGGCTAAAAACGCTTTGGTGGACACACGGCCTAAAGGCATTAATGCCAAAGTCTTGTACCTTTTGTCATTACGTCTAATTTTTTAAATACTGTCTTCACATCAAAGTTTGTAACGTATTGATTCACCTAATAGCTTGGTGTATTTCTTATAACAGTTAAACAAAGACTATTTTTGAAATCCCTATGGGAAAATGAATAGAAAGAAATCTTCCAGAACCAGCGAAACTACGTCTTTATCTTTATAGTTATAGTCCTTGATATGAATGGGCATTATTTATCCATTTTGGCGTAGCTATCAAATCTCATTTGTGGCCAAGATCTTTTCAATGTCAATACGGAGCATGGCATGGACAATAGGCAAGTAGTCATATGGACTACTTTGTTGCCTTTTTGGAGACTTTTGGCAGTATAAATCCCCTTTGTGTGTTAAACAGAAGCTTGGACATTGTTGAAAATGATTCGTGAGGGTGAGTAAACGATGTCAGAATTTGTATTTTTGGGAGAACTATTTCTCTATGGAACAAATGCATACGTCCTCACAAATCTTGGATGAAATGTAAATTTCACGCAAACAGATCCTCGTTTTCATAGTCACATTTTAGACACGCAATGTCCTGAATGTGACCCTGCTACTCAGGTTGGTCTCCAAACGTTTTTGGTGTACCTTCAGTTTAACTCGTTCACATTAAAATGTATTAAAAGGGGTATTTCGCTCAGTTCGCTCATTTTCTTCAACTCTTGGGACATCTTTTTCTTGGTATTTTAACGGTAAAATAAGCAAAATGACACTGTTCGAGTGCAATTCTCCTTCATGTAACAAACCACCGTTGTGCTGACATGACAGTAAGATGATGGTTGATCACACTTTTATCAATGCAAATTCTCACTCGATTGGGAGAGATGCTATGTATCTATGTATAGGTTTTATTAACAGCTGACTCCTTTGAGAGTACTCTTGTCAAATGAAGACCTTCTAGACTGCTAAAATATTTAATAGAAAATTACTTTTTAATATAATTTTTATGTAGCGGTCTTATGGAAAATGCAACTAAATAAACCAACCAAGAGAAAAGAAAACAACAGAGATGTGAAGGTATTACTAATTGCTATTTTGTTCTGTAACATGTTTTTTTTTAACAGAAAACTCAATCTACATGGCTAAGCTGAATATTTATTTTGTTATGTAAATCATATTTATAATGCTATTTTCACAGAGAAGTGATTCTTTGTAAATTGTAAATAATTCTGTTTTTTTTTCCTTGTGTTGAATGCATGTATGTGTCCCTGAGAGAAAACATTACAGTTATTCCAAACAAACATTTCATATTGCCTTTTCATTGAACATACCCCAAAGCCCCAATGTCCATCTCATGGTGTTAGTGAATTATGAACCCATTTTCCTTCCAAAATGTGTCACTATATCATATTATTGAGTGCAATAGGACTTGTTCTATGATTGGGTTTAATAACTAATAACCTGTGCATCTATTGGTGTAGATATTAGCAGTGTTGGTGCGAACACATTACTTTTACATTTACCACAACATATTTGAGTAACTTTTTCAAATGGACACAAGTTATTGTTTTTTCTCCCATGTACTGACTGACTGTCTCCATGTTGACGGTTATTGTAGATCAAGACTACAATAATGTGAGCAGGAATTCACTCATCATCACAAACATACAGTTAGTTATTCATTTTAAGGAATACTGAATCTGAGTAACTGCAACTACACGTCAACTAACTCTGATTAGAGTAGCAGTAGGGTTAGGTGTTAGTAGAATAAGTTGATATATACATCCAAAGTGTCGTATAGTCAGTGCAATGTGAGATATTAACCCTTTGAAGTCCGCACCAAGAAAAAAGTGATGGAATTATTTTTTTGTTTGCATTTCTTATCTTCTTATGTCGCTAGTAACCACTTTTTTCAACACATCCCATAATTTTTCAAATATCGGTCTCTACCAAATGGTTGAGATGTCACTTAATGGTAATAAATGGTAGCGGAATTCATACACATACTTTGCCATACTTTTTAATTGCCCATCATATTATGATCAACACCTTTTTCTAGTTTTGACAAAACACATTTTTAGAAAGATCTGAGTCTCAAGGTTCATATTTTGTAACAGAAGTGATATTTGGACAGAAATTTATTAATTTGTTACAGCAGAATGCATACAATTAAATTCAATGGAATTTATGTCATTTTTGGTACTACGCCTAAACAAAATCTCATGAGAACTTCAATTTTTGTGATATCAACTTCAAATTTGGAACACAACTTGGTTAGATATATGGCTTTGATTTTATAGTAGTTTTATAGGGAAAAATATTTTGTAAAATATATATTTTATATAAAAGAAAAAATATTTAGCACAGTATATTTGAGTTAATGTAAACTTAAAACTTCCATAACTTTTTCATACTTTTATTTTTTATTTTTTGAAGTGCTTTTTCTTCAGCAATAATCAGCATTGTTTTTTGTTTTTTTATTAAAACAAAACTAAACTTAGGTCTTTATTCCAAAGCATACTTGAATTACAACCAAGTTTTAATAGTGCATTGTAATGTCCATTCTCAAAAAGCGGGGTGACAGTTACCGTTATGTGCCAAATCAACCGTTTGGTTGAGCATGTTTTTGAAAAATTATTAAAAACATACTTACGTTTTTTCATAGCACCAAGTAACATCATTTTGTAAAGTTAAAGGGTTAAACAGATTAATACTTTAAACTTCTATTAACTTTAAATAACTACATGTCAACTAGCAGTCGTTAAAGTGGAGTATCGAAATAAAGTATTGCCAAATACTGTGAAATCAATGCAAACTCAGAATAGTATGCATACCCGCAATACTTAAATATGGTAAATTACACAAATATACTTTATTAACCAGCATCTTTGCTGTTGATTTTCAATGATCCAATTTAAATTTACAAATAAGCAAAGATGACTTTAGATAAACATTGAATTTGTTTATTATTTATTTATTTGCAAAAGTAAGAGTGTTAAACTTCTGCGTCATCATCTTCTCTGATCCAGAATGGCAGAACATCTGAAAGGTTTGTTTGAGCGGCGCCCTCTACTGTACAGGAGTGAATATGCGTTTCCTTCAGCCTGAGGCTTATTTATGTCACTTTTGCTGTGAAAGGGCATTTACATTTGCTACACATAACTTGTTTTGTTATTAAAAAACAAGCAAGCAAGCAAATAAGTAACACAATAAGTTAATGTTTGAGGGACTAACACAATATTGTAATGCATTACTTTTAATATTAACTTTCCCCAACACTACCTTTTGGATGATACTGGGCCAGTGAATTTTTTAATTTGAAACAAATTAAAATAAAAAACAGTAATCAGTAGTTAATATACAATTATTCTAAATGCATTGGCGAATGTTTTTGTAGGCATAGTGTTTTTGATCTGAATAGTCCCAATCATGTACAAAACTGACAAGCAATCTTTCATCAGCTGTTCAATCTTGGGCCATTACAATGCACTTTTCCTTTGAGCAAGATAGATGTGCCAGGGCCTAGACCTTGTAGCACACACACACACAGTTTGCAACCAAATGAAAGACGACTCCCTGCACTGTTGCTTGACGCAGACATTTGGATTCCCACCCCATTCCACAGTGGAATATAGGGCTCTATTTATAGAGCTGGTGGAGCCCGTGGCCCCGAGCTCGGCAGAACACACTCATTAAAACCGCTTTCCCTAGTACACTTCAACTCGAAGCCCAGTGCCAGTGTGTGTGTGAGAGTGGAAACAGTGCTAGAGAGAGAGAGCTAGAGTTCTAAAGGTAATCCGTGATAAAAGTTGTCTGAAGAAATTGGGAACCTACGGAGACCATCTCATGTGGGATATTTACGGGAGCTTGATCGTCTTCTGTATTATGAAGAGACGCTTCGGCTGTAGCAGGTGACATTCGACTCGCAGGGAACTTTCTGCATAGACTTTCTCAACTGAGAAACGCCAAGAGAAGACCTGCGGGAAGAAGGTGACTATGTTACGACTCCAGCTCTAAGGGAGCCGTTTGAATTTGATTGATTGGAATTTGGAACTTTGGAACTTTGGAAGTAAATAACAGCGATGATTTGATTTGAATTTAAAAGACAATTCTCTTGTGCTCAAACTGTTGCTTTGCAATATTTTCCTCGTCTTTCTTTTGGTGATCTAAAAGTACTGTCCGTTCACATCCAGAGTTTCAGCTGTAATCTGATCCCACACACTCAGTAATTATAAAGCAGGGCTGGGAAGCAGTACTGGAGATTTGTCATTAAGGCACCCTAAATAAAGACTCAGGCAAAAGGGTGAGGTTTGTGGATTTCGGTCATCAAGATCCACCTAAAAACGGCTCATGGACCCCAAGGTGGTCATTACCTAAACAAGGCAGCGGTGCTGTCCGGACTCGGCGCTGCCCGAATGATCCAGCTTCTCCTGGGCTGCACCACGATGGCCCTGGTGGCCCACAGCGCGGGATTCAGCGCCACCTACGGCACCTTCTGCATGTTCGTCTGGTGCTTCTGCTTCGCCGTCACACTGTTGGTCTTCACCCTGGACGTGACGAGGCTTCATGGGTGCATGCTTATCTCCTGGGACAACTTCACCGTGGCCTTCGCCATGCTCGCCACTCTCATGTACATCACAGCGTCGATAGTGTATCCCGTGTACTTTCTACGATCCGAGTGCCCATCCGAGGGATGCGAGGTGAGGAACTACCGAATCGCGGTCACCGTTTGCTCAAGCGTCTGTTGCTTCGCCTACGGAGCCGAGGTGTTTATCACACGGGCCAAACCGGGGCATGTGGTCGGATACATGGCCACCGTATCCGGCTTGCTTAAAGTGGTCCAAGCCTTCATAGCCTGCATTATCTTCGGCGCCCTGGCCAACGACAGCGAGTACAACCGGCACATCCCGACCCAATATTGCGTGGTCGTCTACAGCCTGTGCTTCGCCGTGACCGTAGTCGTCGTTGCGCTCACCGTTTCTGGGAGGACGTCTTCGTTACGCTTCCCTTTCGACCGCTTCGTGGTCGTCTACACCTTCCTGGCGGTGCTTTTGTATCTGAGCGCTGCCGTGATCTGGCCGGTGTTCAGTTTCGATAAGAAGTACGGAACCCCGGGGAGACCGGGAGACTGTCCGAGAGGGAAGTGCCCTTGGGACAGCAAGTTGGTGATCGCCGTGTTCACCAGTGCCAATCTGGTGCTGTACGTCACCGATCTGGTGTACTCTCAAAGAATACGGTTTGTCTCGCATTCATCAGCATAAAGCCATCCTTTCTCCAATCCGGTGGATTTATGAATACCGGCAATTAGTTAAATACAGACATGCCAATAAACAGCTGTGTGTACTAGTATCATTTTTTTTTTTTTGGTCATTTTTGTTATTTAGAATTAAAATGTTTGGACTTTCGAACTGCTGGGATTGAATTTTTCATTGTGTTAATGAATAGTTACTTTGCTTAGTAGATTCGTTGCATACTAATGTAGAAATAACTTCTGTGCCAATGCCTCTCTTCATTGTCACTGTAACCCTAAAGCAAGGGTGTCCATCCAAAGACCACGTCCTGGAGAGTTTAGCTGTAATCAGCTCCAACACACTTGCCTGGATGAGTCTGAACACAGATATCCATAATAAAGGCTAGATGTCGTACGGCGGAGTCTCTATCGTCCTCACCGGTGGCCATCTTGTCACAGGCAAGCTGATGTAAGATGAGTGATCAGTATGAACACAAATACTCTTATCTCGTTGAAATCTTGACGGATTTACAACAGTTTGGTTTCTTACAAACGTTTTTAATGTGGCTATAATTCTGGATGATTATTTATTGAAACACTTATTTTTTTATAAGTGTGCAGTGTCATAACTACATCTCTGACGTATATAACAAACCAAACCATTTGAAAATCGGTAGAAAATTTAGAAAGTCATGGTTATTTAAAAAGCACATGTACCATTAAAACACAATGTCACGAGTGAGCGTCGCGACCTGCCTGTGACAAGATGGCCGCCAGGTGCGGATGTCGACCTCCATTGCCTAAAGCACGGATGAGACATCTAGCCTTTATTATGGATATCAATGAGTCTGAAGACCATCATTCTGCTTCTTCTTTTAGTTTTATAGCGGATTGCATCCACAACTTATCAGGTGCATACCGCCACCTACTGTACCGGAGGATGCGATATGGGTAACACTTCAATAATCTACTTTTCTTGTAAAAAAATAAAAAATAAAAAAATAAATCTTTCCTATACAACTATTTTAATATTGCATATATATTTATATCCCTAGATCTTATGATATACCCCTATACTCCACAACATCATTCTGTGTATCCCTCTCCTGATGTTCCCAATACACCCTCAAGGTTTTACTGCCTTCCCGCCTGACTAATCTTTTGTTTTAATTGATTAATCTCTTCTCTATATTTCTTACAATGTATGTAACTGTGTATGCTCTGCATTTTCTGTAATGTTGCACTCCAAACATTCATCTGATTGACTTTTACCTAACACAACCAGTGTTTTATGACCTCAGTCTGGTTCTCCTCCCTTCGGTTCCTGCTGATCACACCCTGTGTATTGATAGAATTGTGTATGATGATATTTGAAGACCATCATTGGCTGGTTCAGGTGTGTTTAATTAGGGTTGGAGCTGAACTCTGCAGGACAGTGGCGCTCCAGGGCTGTGTTTAAGGCCTTGTCCGACTCCACACTAGTACATTTTCGTTTCAAAACGCATCTTTTTCTACCCATTTTCGCCTTTTGCCCAAACTGAGACAGCGTATTATCAACAGAGCTTTTTGTAAACGCAAACTTATATTTTGGATGCGATTAATCACAATTAATCTATGCACAGCCCTAGTTAAAATATGTTACTTTGCACACTCTTCATATCACAGTCCTGCAAAGATGATAGAAAATGTTCTCACATTTACTGTCCTGCAGAAAAACACGAGAGCAGACGCGATTTAGACCCCTCATGTTAGGAGTGAGTGTGACCTGGACTAAATGTGTGACATTTTGCTAAATAAAATGATCCTGTCACAAGTATTGTGCGATAACTTTATTATTTATTTATTTTTCACTGTATCATCTCAGTGAGCTTTTGTGAGATTTTACGCATTCGCTGTAAAGATGAATTTGGCGTTTTTCACCGTTTCGGTGTGGATGAGAAACTTTTGGGAAACACCTGAAAACGCTCGTGTGGATGGAGAGCTTTTTATCTGGATTAATGTAGACGTAGCATAAGTCCGTAAGTCTTTTTTTTTTTGCCCTGTCCTTGCTAAATTCCCTCTGTCTTTTTCCAGCATTGTTTACGTTGCACAAGTTCTCACTAAGCCCTTGATCACTTGTGGGTATAATAAATGAGCACTTGCTGTTGTGTCGTCACAATCATGTGGTATTGCCACGCTATCTCACGACCAATTCGTACGAATTCGTACGAGTGATTAAAAAGTGGCTAATTCGTACTAATTCATACGACCTCGCTCGTACGAATTCGTACGATTTGTCCAAACCCACGTGATGGTAGGTTTAGGGGCGGGGTCAGGGGTAGGTCATTCATACGAATTGGCCAATTCGTAAAATATGTACGATTTAGCAAAAACGTACTAATTCGTACGAGTGAGGCCGTACGAATTGTTACGAATTAGCCACCTCGTAAAATTTGTACGAATGGTCTATGGATCCGTCTGAAGTGTGTGTATTGGGTAGACTCACTCCCTCGGACAAAATCAAGGGGTCCAAATAAACTCCCGTCATCAGGGAAGTGTGTCTAATAGTGGAGTTAAACGCAGTCCAGGAGCAGGTTTGGACACCAAAAGAGTAAAATCTGTCATTAAATATCACATCCTAAAGCTGCATGACTTTTTTTCTTCTTCTTCTGAGGAACATACAACAAGATATTTTGAAAAAAGTCAGTAACCAAGATATCTTCTTTTATGTTCCACATACAGTTTTGGTACGACTTTAATTATGAAATTACGAAATTATGAATTATTTTTGGGACGATCTCTTTAAAACTTTAAGATTGTTGTGGATTTGTACGGTTATTATATGGCTTACTAAAAGTAAAATTAATGTGTATTTTCCTCTAATTTAGGCTATGTATGTATACTGTTAAATGTTATTATAATTATTGTTATTATTTGATTACTTTTATGGCAATGTCTAAGCCTGAGATAACTGAAACCTCTGATTAGAAAAAGGGAATATATGATATCACTTCTTTATGTATTGTCCATAGAGATTAAATATCATGTCAAGTTTTTTCATGAATGGCCTTAATTGTCATGGTGCTCAGATCTAGTCAATCTACTCAGGCTTCAATATAAGTACAGTTTGTCTTTTTATAGTATTTAACAATATATTGTTACTAATTCACAACATAGGCTATTTAAATAAATCAAAATATGTTGGTAATTAAACTGGATTGTTTTGTGTCTATCAGTTTCTTTCTCTTTCTCACCACCTCCAAATACAGCACACAAAAATGAACATTCATATAAATAAAAGACAGTTTCTGTACAAATATATGTGAGTGGGTGCACTGTAAAAACTATGGGCGTTAACTTAAAAAAGTAAGTAACCTGGTTGCCTTAAAAGCGGCCGAGTTAATGAGACCGATTTAAGAGTTCATTGAAAATAAAAACACAATCGAGGAGATTGGTTTAATCAACAGAAACTATTTTTGTTGTCTGAACCACATTAATTATCTAAGTTGATTTGACAAAAGAAAAAACAATTGTGAAATCATGAAAATAATGTAAACTATTATTTTCATGATTTATCACAACTTTTTTTTTTCCTTTGGTGGTTATAACCTATACTTTTATGAAAATGTTAATTTATATGTCCTAAGTATAGCTTAATCTGAAGAAGAGATCATTTTATTTGGGGTAAAGGTTTATAAATGGAAAGAGTTTTAAATTAGGCTTTTGTGGTAATGATTATATTTAGCTTCAAACGAAAACAGACTCTAATTTAAAGTCTCTAATAAAGAAAGATATCGGTAGGCAAAAAGAGAGCAAGAAAATAGTTTTGACATATACATATCAATGAAATGTAAAAATCCAAAATAAGAAATCTGTTGAATTTATCAAACAAAATACAAATACACATGGATACAGAACTGCCGTTGACTTTAGCCCACGTGCTCATAAAAGTGACGCAACAGCATTCTGTCAGCAGAGCTGGCCTATCATGACGCACGGTGCACACATAAAGTACAGGGATTGGCTGAGGCGCGAGCAGTGCTTTACCGTGATTGGTCAGAGCCTTCTACTACTCCACGTCATGAATGGTAGTTTAACTAAACGACAACAGACAACGTGAACACGATAAACAAACGTGAAACAAACTGAATATATGTGAACCAGCTCTTCAAAAGATCGTGTTCTAGGTAGGTTTCTTTAAATATTAAGTTGTCTGTATTCCTCTCGTTGTCTGTGCTGCGTCAAAGCTGGTTCAGTCCGACCAGGAAATAGAAAAGTGTTAAGCAAGTAGACTCTGTCCTGATATTACCTCAGCTGAGCTATATAGAGTCTGAATATTAATACAATGATTGTTAACTTGTGTATTTGTGTTTGCTGGTGAATGGTCATCGTCTGGTTGTTAGCAGGTCAATATGAGCGTCGGCTTCATCGGAGCGGGTCAGTTGGCGCATGCGCTGGTGAAGGGCTTCACAGTGGCAGGTAACTTTACAGCATTACACACACCGACCGCTGGAGGCGCCAAACACTAACGATCTGGAACAAAATAAGACTTTTCTGTAGTAAATACACTAAAATATGCCCTTAAATCATTTTTAAATGTCTAAAGCAGGCATAAATTGATTAAATAAGCACATTATATAACAATACACTACCGTACAAAAGTTTGTGGTCCGTCATATTTTTTCTTTCTTTTTTTGAAATAAATGAATACTTTTATTCATCAAGGATGTGCTAAATTGATACAAAGTGATAGTAAACAATTTGTATTGTTAAAAAGATTTCTATTTTGAATAAATGCTGTTTTTTTATTACTTTTTATTCAGTAAAAAATCCAGAAAAAAATGTATCATAGGCTATACAAACAAATTAAAGGATTAGTTCACTTTTTAAAAAAACACTTTTGCTGATAATTTACTCACCCCCATGTCATCCAAGATGTCCATGTATTTCTTTCTTCAGTCGAAAAGAAATTAAGGTTTTTGATGAAATTAAGGGTTTTTTTTCCATATAATGGACTTTAATCCAAAAGACAAAAGACAGTTTCAGTGCAAACTGCAAACTGTTCAAAGGGGTTTAAACGATTCCAGACGATGAATAAGGAAAACTAAGCAAAATCAAGCGAAA